GGGGAAAGCCAGCCGGAGCCAAGCAGCTCCTGGCATGGGGCAGCTGTGGCGGGTGGCGGAGTCCCGGCAGGGTGAGGGGCAGGGGGGCAGGAGGGTGTCCCTGCAGCTCTGGGGTGGTCAGGGTGGGTGGACAGCCCGGTGCCCCAGTGCCACCGGCCACCTCGAAGTGCTGCGGGTTTTCCCAGTCATGGCTCCTGCGCCGGCTCCTCACCCAGACAGCCCCGCACACCAGGGCCAGCGCCACGGGCACCTTCAAGCTGAGGAAGAGCAGGAAGTGGATGATGCCAGGCTGGGACCTGCATAGAAGAATGCTGCAGCTAGAGTAGGGTCTGGGCAGCCAGGACGGGGATGGGAGCACTCGCATATCTGCCAGCCGCCCCACTTGCCCTTGGGATGCTCCTTGGGGCTGCTGCAACTGGGGGCACCCAGGGCTGGGGGATGGACGCAGGGGAAAGGGTGTCTTAGGCTGGGGGATGCTGTTGGGAGCTTTCCCTGACCCCAAGCCCTGACTCACAGCACAGGAGGCTCCCTACAGCCTGTGGGGCACAAGGGGTTGGTGGCCAACGGGCTCACGTCGCTGCCCTCGGTCGCGGCTGAAACAGCTGTGAAGAAAACACAGAGTCAGAGGAAAGTGGGGACCCCCCCACCCTGCACCCCATCCTGCCCCCTGCGCAGGGGGTCTCTGCACCGAGACTGCAGCCACGGAGGTGCAGGAGGTGGAAAGGGAGGTCTCCGGGCAATGCCCTGGGCACCAGGGAGGAGGAGGAGGAAGGAAAATGTGCGTTTAACTGGGAGGGACTGGGAGCCCTGAGAGACAGGCTTGCGGAAGCAGAGAGGCTGAACGGGGAGGTGAGGGGGGAGCTCTGCTCTGCATGAAGCCCTGTACAGCCTTTTACGTCCAAATTTGCACCGAGGCTGCCTGCAGCCAGTCCCGGCGCCTGCGAGGAGCTTGTTCCCGCTTTGACAAGCCCTGTGTTCCCTGGCTGGAGACTCCCAGTCCCCAGCACTGTGACCCGAGCAACGGACTCCATTGCACACCCCTGCTTTGCTCCCGACCCGGCTTTACCTGCAGAGACCATCACCTCGGTGATGTGCCATAGGTTGAACTGCTTCCTCCTCCTCACCCCGCAGGAGTAACAGCCTGCATCCCTCGGCGTGACGCTGCCCAGCGTCACCGTGAATGAGCGTGTCGCGTGGTTGTCCCTGATGGACACCCCACCCTGCGTCACCGTCACCTCTGAGCCGTTGGTTTGGGCGATGTAGTTGAAGCAAAACCAGAGGAAGTTCGGGCGGCACCAGTACTTGGGGTAGAGCTCGTAGCCCGGCTTGTAGCTGCAGGACATGGCCAGCGAGCCACCCTGCTCGGCCGTCACCTGCGCGGGGCCCGTCACTGCCCAGCCACCTGCGAGGGACACGGAGAGGTGCTGCAAGCGCTGCTGGCATTGCCTCGGGGAGCCGGGAGGGATCCAAGCCCGGGATGCCGGGGGACAGCCTGTCCCGAGGGTGGCTGCATCCGTGCACCCGCTGTGCCGGGGAGCGGTGCTGAGATGAGACCTCCCCAGCTGTTAAAAAAGAGCCCCCGTCAAGTGCGCGTGTTATTAAAAAGGAAAAAGCCGTATCGCCAGGGTTCGTGTGACAGCAACGAGAACACCCCGTAGCCATTCACTGGCCACACGGTGTCTGCCGGGCTCTTGCCATGGCCACGGTGGGCTCCCAGGGCTGGCTCAGCTGCAGGCTCTGCCCAGCTCTGTCGGAGCCCGTGGGTGGGAACTGCCTGAGCTGTGCTCCCGGCTCTCACCTGGAAAAAGGGTCCAAACCAGGAAAATCCTCATTTTCTAGCTTCTCGCTCCTGATGCACACTTTTCCCTGCAGTCATTCAGCCAGCACCCTGTGGGACGGAGGCAGGGTCGCACACACCCGGCTGTCCCAGGAGTTTCCCAAGCCTTCTTCTTCCGTCGCTTCCCTGGGCAGTGTTTCATCACAGACCCTGGATGTCTTTTTTAAAGGCGGTTGCTTCCTCCCTTCGCCCAGGGACTGTGACTCACCCCGGGGGTGTCTCATGAGGGTCATTCTCTGCTTTTGCTCTGAAACAGCCACTGGTTCCCAGAAAAACATCAAAATGCAGCCTGTTCCTTTGTCACGATGCCCGTCCCAGTGGGAAACGCAGCCCCTTCCCATGCACAGAGCCCGAAGGGCTTTGTGGGGCTTTGTAGGGGGAACGGGCCAGAGCAGGGGGCTGGGGGCTGCTGTAGGGCAAATACAGGTCAGCCCCTATGGATGGACCAGTTGGGACTGCTGGGATGCTCTCCCAGTTGAGATGGACTGGAATGAAGGACTGGGATGATGGACTAGGATGAGGGACTGGGACAACGGACAGGGATGAACGACTAGGATAAAGGACTGGAATGAGAAGCTGGGATGAGGGACTGGGATGAGGGACTGGAATGAGGGATTGGGATGATGGACTGGGACAATGGACTGGGATGAGGGACAGCCATCCCTGCTGCACTCCAGCTCCCTGGCTCCCGAGCTGGCTGCTAGTGTGAGCTGGGCTTCTTTTGTTTGTTTTCTCAAGCAGAAGTGTCTCATTTCCCCCCCAAAAATGCCTTTTTGGGCACAGCCGTGGGTTTTGAGTGGCAATGCTGTTTTTTTCCCAAAACTAAATATTTCCACTGAAAGTTTCAGAAACCCAACCACAAAAGCAAAGCTTCTTCCCTGGCAACTGCCTTGCTGATGGCTTCTTTCCTCGACACCCTTTGAAACAGGCAGAAAGCAGAAACCCCTGGCCCTGCCAGAGGCTGAGGCTGCTCCTTCCCCCCATCCCGTCCCCC